CCGGTGCGTCGGGCCGTGCGGTAGGGGTGTTGGCCGTCGACCGCCCGTCAAACCACACCAATCGCTCGATTGAAGCCATTTTATGCGCGCTTAACACTGGGTCTCAACTCTTCAATGCATTCTCCATCAAATCACTCAATACAATCACATTCACACCAATACTCAACCCTTTGACTGCACTCACTGTCGACACCCAACCAATGCATTCCATCACTCATTCCCGCACTAATTGAGCACTAATTGTGTGACTGAAAGACTCACCCAAATCGTAGATCAACTGCTGATGAGTGGCCATTAGTATTGCCAATACTCTACCACTCATACCCTTATCGCACGACCAGTAATGATGTCAACACATGTCCAGTCATTGCCTCTATGAATGCCAAAAGGGGGCCAAATATATGGGCCGTTATTTATGTCTACTTTACTAATGAATCGATTTTTAGTGTTTTCAATGCCATAACAATAATATTATGATTCAGTTGTTGTGTTGACTGTCATATGAAATGCAATTCAATGGGTGTTTGCATTGCATACGAATTGTGTTCACGTTTTCACTCATGTTTTCATTAATAAATCTTAATTAATAACAAGCGATTCACTTTTGCTCTCATTTCTCCCAAATGTGATACTTATTTGACTTTTTATTCATTTTTAAAACTTATTATTTTATTTTAAATACAATTTAATTTTATTTTGGACTCAAAAATAGTTGAGTGAAAGTAAAAGTGATGGCAATGTTTGCCACAAATCTAGTCTTAATTGTGATTCAAATTATAGTTTTATTCAATTTTATTCGTTGCGAAGAGTTGTCCGAAAAGTGTATCCACTGTTTGGACGACTTCTCAAGTGTTGAACAAAAATTTCCTGAAGTTAGACAACGAAGACATTTACTCACGAGTGAAGCCAATGAAGACAACAACAAACAGTCGTTCAATGAGTCCACAACCGCGACAACTGTTTTGCCTCAAAACAGGTATTGTCTTCAATTGCAGACAATTGTGTTTGTAATGCATTGAATCCATTGTTAGCACTGATATGTCAAACACGACGGCCATCGGTAACGGAACCCAAAGCCCGTCCACGACATCGATCGCACCTCAAGACCCGATTCTTCCCCAAAAAGGCGCCGCAG